ACATTGAGCCATCGTGAAAAGGTCGTTAAACGAAGTGCTTTGAAGGCAAAAGTGGAAGTGTTGAAGGATCATTTATAGACAATCGCTTCACTGAACCAAAACATTCGCAAGCACATTCGGAAGATATGAAAGACACTACGCTTCCACGTTAACATTTCTATTGACTAAGTAAAGCGAATAGAAATATCGAAACTCGTTTCCCTCTCTCGCGGCACAGCTGCAGTATCAAGCTGCCCAATACAATTTACAGAGCAAGGTACAAGCCATCGTAGAAACAGGTCAGAGGTCAGAAAACGGCTGACCCTCGTCGTCAAGCGAACCGGTTGCAGGACACAGAATCGAAAGCGGCGGCGACAGCTGCGTCGAACGCCAGATCCGTACCTTATCACGTACACGTACAATAGATTAATGTGCGCCAGGCGGCGCCAGGCTCGACAGTAAAAAAACGAACAACGGCAGCTGCATCGACGCAATGACAACATATAGAAATATGGAGTCGTTGACCATTATGACGTCAGCACTAAAGGAGTGAGACGACCATCAAAGTGGACATAAGATGACCATCGATGAATAGCTTCGATCGGCCAGCCGACAGATGAGTCATCGACGCTTGCGCTTCTTCGAACTTTAGCACGGACACCGCACGCGCAGCACCAAAAAACAACTGCTGCGAAGAAAAAACGGCGACGTATTGGCGCCAGGACTGCAGACAGGCGCCAACGATTGGCAGAAAAAGCGACGGACTCCGCGAAAGCGGCGGAACCAAATCACGTGACAAGCAAATAACCCAAATATGAAAAGCGGCCAATTGTGAATGAGTCTAAATCAGAATGATCGGCAAAGACCCACCTACCGATCAATGGATGAAGAAGTAAAGGAAATCAGCCATAAGTCTAATCGGCCTAACTACAAAAATTAACAGACCACTAGCGAACAACCACTGAAAAGTGTGCTCAAAAAATTTATTCATTTAAAAAAAAATTCAATTTGAGGAACAACAGTGCTTTTTCGTCAAAACCGTGGGTTTGTAACCGTGGGAATATCTGTCTTCTATACACTTTCAGAGTAACGGTAATGGTGGATAGCTGAAAATCTTCACTTTCATGCTATCAGCCAGGAGTGCCTTATTTTGAAGGGCAGCGATTTGACAAGTATTACGCTTAGTCCCCTATTTCCCTCCCACAGGGTGAAGCTCGTTCATCAACTTACGAAGAGAGAAAGGCAAATGGAGCGACTCGCTAGGTTTCGCTTCTGAGTTCGACGCTCCACCAACTGAGCAACCGCTGTCATAAAAGACGTAAAAAGCATTACCTTAGACGATGCTTAACTTGCGTGTTTTACAAGGGAAGTTCTGGAAGGGCATAGCGCTGCATCAGGAATTCAGAACGAATGTAAAATGATACCTCTTCGTTGTGAACACTTCCATCGCAAACAGATGTTGCCCCATTTCTCCAGGGCTCTCAGACACCTGAAAAAGCAGGAACGGTGGATTGCATATAACATAAACCATGGAATATTGTCAAGTATCGTATCATCGAGTACTGTTTCTTTGTAAACAACGAAACCAATTTTTTCTTTTATACGTTTTAAGATTTGTAAATCTTGTTGTGGGCAGCATCCGGCTTTGATCAAAGGAAAGTCGTCGGCCAAAAAGCATATAGTCTGACGAAAATGTATACCAGGGCTTTGTTTGGGTCGAGAGGACACAGGCTGCTTGCCATTCTTCAGTCGAATTTTTTGGTTAGTTATGCAACAGACTTGAGGCGGAGGAGAGCGCATACCGCAAAAAAGATGTTTATTCGCTTAGGCTAAAACGTTTGATATCTGGACCGAACAGGATTCGTGTAAAATACGTAATACATCGTGGAATAACAGAAGAACAGTACATATGCGACTGAAAACTTGCAACAATTATACGTTTCTGCTAGTTCGACTTTGTGGCAAACATCGGTGCGCCCTGGAATATCGCTTACCGTTTGTAGTATCTGAACGCAAACATCCCCGTTTGAGCTTCACGTATAAGAGATGGCTATCATCCGTTAGCAACGATTTATCATGTCGTGTCAAAACGGCCAACAATTTCCTCCAGGTTGATCTGATGATCTGACTGATACGAGACATTGGCCAGACGACTGGACGCAAAATACAAAAATCCTTTTGTTGCAGATCAGCATAAACCACTTGGCCGACATAGGTAATCAACGATAGTGAGAAACAAAAAGTGAGCATTCTCGTTATTCGAAGGTGGTACGGAAAATTTCAACTACCTCCTGACGTAGAAAGACCCCTGAAAAACCTTTGTGAACAAGAAATTCATCTGAAGGTCATGGGTTCGGATCCCACCACTGCACACGTTTGTCCCATATTCATCTTTCCAAGGGCCACAAAATGAATCTGCCTGATATTTCGTGAACAATACGCCCTTAAGACTCTGAAACAGAGCAAAAGCCTTCTGCCTTATTACCAGTACAAAAGAAGGATGTAAGAACCTACAAGCTGTGCAGCTCCTTTACTAATGTCAACTCTACGCCACAAGAAGAAGAGGTTACAAACAATGGAAGAATATGGAACACCGACATTCCAAAGCTTATAAATACTTTTTACTTTTCCTACTCGACAGGCTTAAACGAACGAGATTTTAGCTCAAACGTCTGCATACAAAAACTACGAAGTTTAAGGGATATCACAACGGATAATGAAAACACGCAAATAATAAGCATGAAGGGTGATGTAAGTTGGCTGACCATTCGAGTAAGTTATATCTCTGTTTCCTGGTGCATGGCTCAAGACACCAGTCTAGAAGGACCACGTAAAATCTTTTTTTTGCCTAATGCATTTTTATGCAGCAAACCGGTGTGGTTACTAAGCTTAAATTTGTCTCACTTTGTACACCAGACCACGCTTTTCATATGATATCGTTCATGAAAAGGATGAAAAACTGGAATGTTGGATGGAAAAAGGCGGTTGCTCGTTGTCCAAAACTATATGGCCCCATTCAAGTTCAGATACAGATAACCCAGTTATTCTTGCTTATTTAAATCACCTTTTCATCGTTCAAGGTTACGAATTAGTAAAAACACACCCTGACGTGAATTTATCTTAACATCTGCTATAACAGGATTTGAACCGAAAAAACCCGGGGAGGAAGGCACCTCGATTTTACTTTAACAGCAGAAGATCTAGGGTAAAACATGTGGAAACAATATCGACTGAATCCTTAATTCCTAGAAAATCCACATTTGACTAGTCCGCAACAACGGACAACGGACAACGCACAACGGTTCTGAAGAAAAAATGACTAAACACGTGAAACCAGCGCCTGATTTAAAAAAAAACAAATACAATTGACAAAAGACGAACCTGATAACCGAACATAAACATAGAAGACATGCTTTTCAACGGCGATAATAAAAATCGAAATGGTATCCCTGACGTATGCCAAAAACAAGTTTTTTACCATTCTTATTTTACTTTTTTGCAACTATTTTTCTACAAGTCTTTAACCAGTTCTCACTGAAAGCTTCGTGTCTTAATTGTTATCTTGTACACTCTATGCATTCATTGGTGGAGAGGGTAAAGACCTAATGAACCATCGAACAGAAAGATATACATATACTGTCTTATGTTTCGTTATGACCATGTGTCGCCCTCGGTCGGCATTATAACCCTCGTGTTGACAAAGTGCACTCTTTCTGGATGAAGGTAGTGTACTGATAGGTGGATAATCGGCGAGCCGCCTCGTTTGCAGCCAGCCGCAGCAAGCCGTTTCGTACATGAATCCTGTGGTCCAATCCTTCTGCAGTCAAAAAAAAACACGGGACTCCATCCGGATTCCACTAGCAGGCAGCTATGAGCAACAATCTGTTGTTAACCTCATCACTCAGGATCAATTCATCAAACTAAACAGACTGGTCCTGCGATGCAATAACGATTACCAAGGCCACTACGCAAGTAATGAAAGGTAGTTAAGCGCGCCCATGCGTCATCCTACTGGCATTACTCTGCTCTGCTATCTAGCCGTGCAGGAAAATGGCACGATGCTCGCGAATACTTTCGTATCTGTTATGCTAATAAGCAAACATTATAGAAACAAAACCGTCATTCACATAAAATCCACTGGTCGTAGATATGTTAGAGAATACAAAATATGGATACATATCGTTGAGGGATATGTACCCTGCGACGCAGTGGCAACGCCCCTTCCCGTAGTGCCTAATATGAAATGGGAGTTTCATGTTTAACGGTCATATATTTGCAAATCGGGGCTGCCGTTCTTCTGCCTAAACTCTGTTAACTTAAGTTGATGATGACAACACAATTCCCAGGATTAAGAGAAGGCCATGACGAGGAGACAACACACTCCTCTGTATATTACAACTTGCACGGATAACTGGGTTGCAATTCTGGATATCTTGTTTACGTTTCTACGATCTTAGACATAGACTGTTTATGTATATATGTTATATGCATAATGGTTAACCATCCAAAATTCAAGGAAATTGCTTGCTGCTGTGGTTAGAACAACATGATTAATCTTAAAAAATGTAGCGGTCATCTTGCTCTATGTAGATTTTCACAAAATAAATACTTGACGAGAACTGTTCCAATTTCCCTTTAAGCTTTTGTGGCTTCAAATTTCAAAGTACCAAAGAGAAACTGAAATCTTTTAATGTTAAAACCGTTTCCTCATAAAAAACATCATCAGAGAGCTCATCAGACTAGAAGTAGTCAAAAAAAGCGCGCTAAAAGAGGCTACTGGCGAAGTCGCTTCAGTACTTCTGAATTCTAATTCCAGCAAGTGACTGTATGAGATACTATTTAAGGCTACTCTACCTCGACCTGTGCCAATAGCGTTAATCAATTTTGCATACTTCTTTAATGACGT